CTCCCAGGAAGGGCCTGACCTTCGTCTCAGTCCACGACTGCTACTGGACTCACGCGCTCACCGTGGATGTCATGAACCAGGTAAAAGTGTCCTCCTGGCTCCCTTGGGAGCAAATCTTGCTGATCTGTGCTCTGGGCCCACGCCAGGCCTCGCCTCCCCTGGGCTTTGCTCCATAGGCTGATTGATTCACCCTGAGGTGAGGTGAACCTGGGATGTTTGCTGGCGGTCACAGCTGATTTCATGGTGCCCGTTCTCCTCCCACTCTGCAGGGAGTGTGTGGGAGAATCTGTGGAAACAGGGAATAAACAGCCCAGAATCCACAGATTCTGGCAGCCAGTGCCCCTGCCCTGCCCTGGGTCCTTCCCAAGGCCTTTTGTGCTAATGAGGGTCGATCTGTGCTTCACACCTCTCCAGGCTGATTCCCTTCACCCTTGTCTGGCAGCCCCCCTTCCCACTCCTGCTGCTTTCCCTGCCCCTCACCTCTGACCTGTCACTGGAAGGAGAGAAAACACCTGCTAAGCTGCTCCTCCCTGTTGTCTCCCTGGGTCAGGTCTGTCGGCAGCAGTTTGTGGCTCTGCACAGCGAGAAAATTCTGCAGGATCTGTCTGAGTTCATGCTGGAGAAGTACTGCAGGTATTCCTGACCTGTTGGGTTTTCCACCTCACAGAGGTCATGTCCAGGTGCTCTCAGATTGTGTCACCTGCCTGGGTGGGGAAGTTGTCCTTCCTTCTTGCTTGATACCCAAATCACCTTCAGCTGTGTAAAACCCAAGGGTTCTTCACTCTTTTGGTGAAGAACCAGGGGAAGGTTTGGCAGCCTTAAAGCCTGGCCTGGGCTGCTAGGGCTGAGCTCCTGCTCTCACTCTGGGGTGCCTGGTCTGTTTTGGAAGAGCTGAATCCTGTTGTCAGAGGCTGCATTAGGGAGCAGAGGAGGGTGTGCCTGGCTCCAGATAACCTGTGTTTATTTGCTTCCTTCTAGTTCATCCAGCTCCAGCACAGAGCCCATAGCCCACTGGCAGAAGAGACTGAAGGAGCAGCTCTCAAATGTCCCCAGCACAGGTAGGAACATAGGACAGGAACATGCAGAGCGCAGGAGCATTTTGGAAACAAGGGGAATGAGATGGAGTGGCCCCCAAAACCACCAAAAGGCAAAAAGGCAGAGCTGTCTCCTTGCATCAGGTTTCCTCTCCTGTGCTGGAGTGCAGAGCCATGGGGCAGAGCAGTCCAGCATGTCCACATCCCCCTGTAGCATTCCTGTCAGTGCTCCCTGCCATCCTCCCTGCGTCCCTGGGATTTCCCCCAGGCTGACCCAGCTCTTCCCATCCTGCTCTTGTTCTGCTCCCATCTGTTTCCAACCCTGAGCATTTGCTCAGAGATGGGAGCGAGGGCCTGGGCATGGTAATTGCCAGGATCTAGATGATATACATGCAATGGGATTAAGGCAATTAGTTTAACTCCTTCTAATCTCTCAGCCCTGTGTCTGCCAGGCCATCTGGCTCTGCCTGACCTCTCTCTGGAGTGGCTCCATGGGCAGCACAGTGCAGGGGCAGGGATCCTTCATACATTGAACCCACTTCCCTCCCCCTGTCCATCCCCACATCACTCTCTGACCTCTCCTTTGCTCCCCTCAGGTGAATTCAACCTGAAGCAAGTGATGGATTCCACATATTTCTTCAGCTGAGCCCGGCAGCCCACAGGGCCCTGGGATACCTCTGGACCTGCAGCCATGGTGGGCACTGGCCTGCAGTGCTCTTGTGTCCCACATCTCACGGGGAAGAAGCTGCAGCCTCCAGCCCTGCCTCACTCTGAGGTGCTGGGGTGAACTGGAGGGGGACAGGGGCTCTGCACTGTTTGCTGTCACTGCTGTCCCAGCACAGGGACAGGGCACCAAGCCCTGCAGAGCTGCAGCTCTGGGCTGGGGGCAAAGGAGTGGCAGGAGCCAGGGTGGCTTCTCTCAGCTTCACCCCAGTGCTGTCAGCACTGGCTGGTGCCTGTCCTGGGGTGCTGTCCCTCTCCATCAGCAGGGTTTCAAACTTTGCAGGGCAGGCAACTCTTGGCCACAGGGCAGGTGCTCCTCTGTGCTCTGCTCCAGCTCTGGGCACTGTCCTCACTCTCAGCACAGCCCTGCTCTTCACTCTCTTTTCCAGGGATGAGTTTTGCTGCTGCTCACTGGGGCGCAGGCAGGGAAAACCACTAACTTGGGGGTCAACATGTATAATATTGTAAATAAAATGTTTTTTTTTGAAATACAAGACGGGACCTGTGTCCTCTGAAATCTTTGCCAGGGGCACGGGGAGGTGGAGTTGCTGCCTCCCAGTCTGGCCCTGTTCTGCTGACTGGCTGGGCACAGGGTGTCACATTCTGAAAATGCTTCTGTAGCAGAAACATGGAATTGTGCCAGTGCAGCTACAGCGGGAGCTGGACTCTCACAGGGACCAACTGCAGCTTTTCCAGCCAGGACCTTCCCTTTCTCACTGGTCTGTGGCTTTCCAGACCTTCTTTCCACCAGGCTGGTGCTGGAGATGTTTGCACCTTGCAGCTGGAGCTGTTTCCCATAACCACAGGCTCACAATCAGCCTGCACCCAGCTTCTTCCAGGCTGCTGCTGGAGCTGGCAGAGCCTTTTCACCTTGTGGCTTTCCTGGCAAAGGACACAGCTCTTCAAAGGACAAAGCTGCATCCCACAGCCTGAGCTGGGGCTGTGCCCAATGTTCCGGCTCCCGGGGCGGGCACGAGGAGCAGGAGGCGCGGCGGGGAGGGAGGGACGGTGGCGAAGAAGCAGAGCCGGAGTCGTGCGTAGCTCTGTCAGCTGCTGACGTTTATTGCACAGGATGGGTTGGATGGGAAAGTGGACGCTTGGAGTGGGGCCCTGTCCCTGCGGCTGCTCGGCC